GTGGGCAGAGAGGATGCTACAATTGAGGACCCGCCTTGTTCGGCGACGATCGCTTCTGTTGCTGGCATCGGCCACGTAGTTGGGAGTGGGGGGTCTGTCGAGGGGACAGTGCATCACGGCACGGAGGAAAGCGTGAGGGAGAGGGCGAAGGGCGGCGCGGAACAAAGGGGGGCTGAACAGGTCGAGGACAGGGGCCTCCACCCACAGAGGGTGGAGCAGATGGCATAACAAACCATACACGGTGTGGGGGTTAGACAGAGTGTCGTGCAGGCTGTGCATCAGAGGATGGATCCCTTATCGGACACAGTTGAGCATCGCCCAGGCTTCGTTCGAAAGGACGTTTCAGAGCTGAGGACCGAGCAGAGGGCGGTCGACAATGCTGAGCAGAGACTACACTTGACTGCAGACCCGTTGCAGTCGGAGGGCGCTCATCCTACGGTGGTGCAGTCAGCAGATCAGAGTGTGGGTGGGGGTTTGGACGCTGCGGTGGAGCAGAGGGCAAACTAGAGGGCAGACCCGTCTATTACCTGTACAGCGGTGCCGAGGGCACACTTGGCTGCTACCCCCACAGTGGAGCAGAGGGTGGTGCAGATAGTGGAGCAGAGAGTGGAGGTTAGGGTTGATGTTAGCGTGGATCTTTCTGTGGGAGCGGGGAAATCACACATTGCACGCGACAGGCCACGAGAGAGGATTGACGACAATGTCGCGCATGTCTCGGACGGTGTGTCGACGAAAGAGAGGATGGTTGATAGGTCGCGGGATCACACGCAACAGAGTACGAGCCAGGATAGCACACTTAGTAGAGGCTCATTCTATGGCATTCCCCCGCTACCCGCATGTGTTTCAMAGTCCATTGAGGGGTTGGATGTYCGTGCAYATGGCGGGCCRAYAGYCGATYGCGTGGGAGTTGAGGGCASWGGCACAGGAGGTCYMAGGAGTGCAGGTCAGTCTSCTAGTCATGCGAGGCATGGAGGGTGCAACTTGTTATCAGTGACTCGCACACCTTTGACTACCCSGACTACCGTGCCTCGACRGCCCCCGCCTACAGACCACCGTCTGCCACACACGTCCAGGCCCTCCCCAACCTCCAGTACTCTCGCTTCACGTGGGCGAACCTCATATMCGACGACTCCCACTTYCGCGCGCWGTCCGCTGGGCATGCCCCCACTTCCTGCACGTCGACCATCAACTATYATGGACAATGTGACAACGAGTCAYKCCAGCAGGAAGAAGAGCTTGAGGGAGGGTGATGCAGGCAGGKAGCCACCTGCCACACGATCCAGACYCAGCACTGASCGACCTCGTGGCCGCCCACGTGGCTCGGGCAGAGGCCGGGGTGGGCGACATCAGTCATGGGCATTGAGTGCGTTGGGGGATGCTGATGCGAGCACCGCAGGTGGTGTGGAGGAGACTGCTGCAGGAGGTGGCTCACATGATGTCGGTGTCCGCACTAGATCTCGACCAGGTATTGGGGAGACACGGACAACCTCTTCTCCCATGTTGGATGATGATCCTGATGACGATGGCCCGGTCAACACCTCAGACGAGATGTCTAGCAGCGACTACGCAGAGGAGACTCGTCTCAGGGGACGCGATGCAGGGGGCGGTGATGACAGCTCAGATGGCAGCGGCGAGGAGTAGCGAGATGTGATGTGTTGATGTTTGTCCAGCTGTGTGGCGAGTGTGCTTCGACGTATGTGACAATGTAGTTCCTCTTGCTCTTGTGGCGAGTGTGTGTCCGTGTATGTGAGACTGTAATGGAGGTCTCTTGCCGGGTGGCAGAGAGAGAGAGAGAGAGAGAGAGAGAGAGAGAGAGAGAGAGAGAGAGAGTTCTTGCACTTGATTTCATGCATTGGTTTTG